ATACACCAGTTGCCAAAGGTGGTAGTGAAGCCCTGGAAAACAGTTTGCATCTCTTAAGCATGCACAGATCTATGTGAATGTTCCACCATGCTGCGCAGGTCATACCAACAGAAGTTGCAGAGATATTTGAAGTCACAGCCTGCAACTCAGAGAGTCTTTATCTGTCAAACCCGTATATTTGATGTTCTGCACGAGTAGGACCATGAACACTCAGATCTGTGGACTTTATGTGCACTAGAGGACCATATCTTCAGAAGGATATTGATACTTTGAAGAGAGGTCAGATAAGAGCTACTAAACTGGTTCATGGATTGGAGGATAAAACTTACAAGGAAAGGTTATGTATAGCTTGGCGGAAAGACTAGACGGGGAAGATATGAAGACTATATTTAAAGGAAGAAAAACTACCACAACAAGAGGACATAGTCTTAAATTAGAGGGGCAAAGGTTTAAAAAAATATCAGGAAGTATTACTTTACTGAGAGGGTAGTGGATGCATGGAATAGCCTTCCAGCTGAGGTGGTAGAAGTTAACACAGTGAAGGAGTTTAAGCAAGTGTGGGATATGCATAAGGCTGTCCTAACTATAAGAAAAGGCTAGTGACTAATAAGAGTATTTAGAAAATTGGGCAGACTAGATGGTCCGAATGGTTCTTATCTGCTGTCACATTCTGTCACATTCCCTGCATTTGCCCCCAGGTCATTAATTTGCCAGGCATCCACTTTCCAAGGTGCAAAATCATGCAGTGCACACTCCCTTTCTATTCCCCCATCCCTGGCAATATGTAAGCCAGTGGGAGGGGTGAATAGATTAGTTTTGTATGCCACCTTCGCACACACTTTATAAGCAGTCCCAATCTACTAACACTGCAAAGAGTTCTTATCCAGACATTCATTTTACCAAAAAGAGTTCCTATCCAAACACACACTCCAATTATCCAAATCTACACTACTATTCCACAAATAGCCATTAGCAAACAAACACACACACACTACAACACAAACAGACTCTTTCACACACTGCACTGCTAATAGCCCATATCCAAACCCACAATGCTCTACAACCAGCACCTATTAGCACACACAATACACCACTAATGCTAGCCGAGCACATACAATACACCACAAGCAGCCACTATCCACACATACAATACACCACAAAGTTCCTATCCACACCCACAATACACTGCAAACAGCTTCCTCCACACACACATACCATACTAAAGAAATTCTTCCCATTACATACAACACCACAAGTAGCTAACCGTGGTATCCATAGGGGCATATGCAGCGCCCCATCAAACAATTGTTATAATAATAAAAATAAAAAATAAACTATTGCCAATGGTAACAAAGTGAATTACTGACATTGCTTCCCTTTGGGAAATAGTTAACTTGCATATTTCCAATATAAATGGTAAACTTATACCACAGAAGTCTGAAATATTATATTTTCCACTCTTATTCTTCCACGGGAGCAGCACAAACTCGCTCATTGGTATTGAGCTGAAACGTAGACTTTTAGCATGATATAAATAAGAGCTAAGTTTTATATATAACATGTATTAAGTCCATGGAGTGCAATCCACTGTTGTTTTGTTATTGTTCTGACAGATTTGCACCGGGCATTAGTTTATATTTTTTCCTGGAGTGCAAGCTACCGAATACTCGATACACACACACACACACACACACACACACACATACAAACCTACAAATGAATACATGTGCATACATACATGTACACATCATACATAGTTAAAATGTAATCATTAAAAAATGTAAATAAACATGCATGGAATTTACTAGACCAGTGTTTGAATGAACAGATTATGAAGGGGGGTAGTCGATTTAATTTTGGCAGATGGTCTACAAGATGAAGACCTATGTAGTGATAATCGTCTGTGCATGGAACTTTTCAATGTTACACCAATACTTACAGTACATGTAATTATTAATCATTTGCCAGATTGCAGTTGACTGTCAAACAATTCAGTTTTAACAACAAAAGCTTGCTTTATCCTCCCTCTTGCTTGGTTCATTCCCTACCCCCACTACCAGTAAATATACTTATCTGTGTTTTTCTCTTTAGTCCTGCTCAGAGGCCTACCATCCAAGAGACCACTTAAAGGACCACTATAGTGCCAGGAAAACATACTCGTTTTCCTGGCACTATAGTGCCCTGAGGGTGCTCCCACCCTCAGGGACCCCTCCCGCCCGGCTCTGGGGAGAGGAAAGGGATTAAAACTTACCTTTCTCCAGTGCTGGGTGGGGAGCTCTCCTCCTCCGATCCTCCTCCGTTCCTCCCATTTGGCTGAATGCACACGCGCGGCAAGAGCTGCGCGCACATTCAGCCAGTCTCATAGGAAAGCATTAACAATGCTTTCCTATGGACGCTTGCGTCTTCTCACTGTGATTTTCACAGTGAGAATCACGCAAGCGCCTCTAGCGGCTGTCAATGAGACAGCCACTAGAGGATTTGAGGGCTGGATTAACCCATTTATAAACATAGCAGTTTCTCTGAAATTGCTATGTTTATAAAAAAAATGGGTTAACCCTAGCTGGACCTGGCACCCAGACCACTTCATTAAGCTGAAGTGGTCTGGGTGCCTAGAGTGGTCCTTTAACAGAAAAAAAGATACACTTAATTTCACTAAGCATGAAAAAGTCCCATAACTGAAACTCAAAAGTATCTAACATTGCACATAATCACTATGTAATACATTGCTATCTCCAGCCAATGAAAATCACAGGATAAATACAAAACACACTCTCATAGCAATCACAACTTTCCAGACATTTTTACTGGAACGTTGTGGTTGATATTACAGAAATCTAGACTGTATGCTTTACCTGCGAGTGTGGTTTCTATGTATGGTAGGAATCTTTGCAAGCAGATGTTATTAGTGGCTAGTAGGTAAAAAAAAAAATACTGACAAGAAAATAGTATCCAAAATTAAATGCTGCCTGTTGTTAATGGCTACAGCCTGCCAATGCTATTTACCAACAAGTGCATCTATTAAATATTTTTGGAGAAGCATTTTAAATTATTTATTTTTTGGGATACATTTTTGAATGATTTAATATTTTGAAAATTATTTTAATATTTTGATAGTTTTTGATATATTAACATCTCTTTTTATAAATGACATATTTTTTTGAGAATTTAATATTTTGGGGGGAAAAACTCATTTTATAAGTTTGTATAAAATTATTAAATCATTCAAAAAAATATTAAATTGAATCTAAGGTTGAAAACAAGCCCAATGTATGGTAAATCCGAAGTGGATTATGTCATTGAATTTTAACTTTTCAAAAAGATCTATCCTTTATCCTTTAAATTCTCAAAATTATATAAAATAACAAAATAATCTTGCCTATGTTTTTAAATCACCATTTTTCTGGCAGCATATTATTTAGATTTATAATTGTCTCGTAATGTATGGATTGTTTTTATAATAATATTTTCTATGGCTTGATGACCATACTGTCTATATGTTTATTATCTCATATTACATAGTACATATATCTACATTGTTGTGGATGGATGAAAACTTTTTCAGTTTTTTTTTTGTACCCTTTTCCCAAGTTTAGTTCCCCCAGGAGATTTATTTCATTATAGTTTGAAAAATGTTCAATAAAAATAATTTGAAAAGAAATGAAATGATGTTGCTGATAACATACATTTATGAATGAAATTACTATTTAGAAGGCACATATAATAACATTACTTTTCCCAAATCCTACTAATCACCTTCTAATTGAATAATATCCTCTGTGTGAGATTAATTGGTGCGTTTATCCCCTAAACCTATAGCTTTTCTGACTGAATATATATGGTGCTAGTAACACACATAATCATAATACACTCACAATCACAGACATACATACACACACACACAGTCACAGACACATATAATTACAAACATACCGACACACAGTCATAGACACATTCATGTACACACAATGTTTTATTTATTTAGAGGTCTACCATCAGCTTCTCTACATGTGCCTTGGAGAGCTGGAGTGGATCCTCTCTCTGGTGGCCAGTGGGGCTGCTGGGGTCACTGCATTCTTCCTATACAGCGCTCATGTGTTCCCTGCAATGGTGCTACATTACAGGCCATGCAAGGGAGCTGAGCAGGAAGAGCCCAGTAGGTTCCGTCGCTGCCCGTACCCTCTCCCTACCCCCACCCAAGACCAGACATTAATATATTGGGGCATACTAGGCACCTGTCGTGTGGGTAGGCAGGCACCTATTCTGCCGAGTGAGAGTGGCTGCCTGTATAGGAAAAGCCACAAGCGGCGGTCATGCCCTGAGCTCTTGCTGCCGAATGGAAGCACCGGCCCTGAATCTACCTGCCACTCTGTTAGAAATCCCAACCCCATATAGGAACACCTCTATAAATCTTAATTCACCTGCTATTTAGCTACCCTGCTTAGACAATTCATCCTTTCCTTCTATTAGTTCCAGAATAAAATTTATGGCCTTAACCCAAACATGCAAAGGCCATCACTTACAATTTCTTTATTTCTGCTTCAATTAACTCCTAAATATGACAACCAAACAGTCCCAAAATTGAAACCTATATCATACACTTTTACTTAAAACGGGGGATGTAGGGAGGCAGCGCTTAACAATTTAATTCCTTGTGTGGGGTCCAATGGAGCCAATATAAGGGAGAAAACAAACTTTTACTTAAGATGGTAATATTACATGATTTAGAGCAGGAATAGTTAACAGTTAGCGTTTGAGCTGAGCTATGTCTCCTGGGAACTTTACCAATGATATATCTAAACAGTTTCTGGCTGAACATTTTAGGAGTGGAATTTCAATAGAATGCCAAAGAGACATTTTTTAGTTATCCCTTACTTAGATGTTTTCATAGAGTATAAACATAGCTGTGACTTTACAAAAGTTACTCCAAAGAAACGTTTTACTTGAAATCACATTTTATTAGTTGTTTCATTGTGAACATGCAGTTTTAAGTGCGAGTACATTTAGTTGTGATATTCGTGGCTCAGACCATCCACAACAACTGCAAAGAATTTCTCAATAGCAGCCTGGACTGGTGGACTGAAGGAGGATCCTAATTTTCCAGCCAGAACAATCACGAACACTTCACCAAAACGCTGCAAAAGAAAGAAAATTCATTAATATTCTTTCATTTTGAATTGAATTTCACTGAAATGTTAGTTTTAATAAGTAAAATTAATCATGCAACTAAACCTTAACTTCAAAATGTGTAAAAAAAAAAAAAACTTAAAAAAACAGGATATAATAGCATAACATTTATCAAAAATATTTTAATTATATCACAGTGATAAAAATAATTTGGGTAAATATGACCTACTTACAATGCTATCTTCAGTTAATATTTTTTGACAACTGTCATCAAATTTTCTCTTCTTTTAAAAGTTATACAAGTGTTCCTTTTTAGTACATTAATTTTTTTTTAAATTTATGTATATTGATTTTTTTAAAATAAAGTTTTTTATCTGGCTGAGTAGAAATGTTTGCTCAGATTCTACTGTTATCTGACCAACTGCTGCTCAACCAAACTTACTGTTATCTGACCAACTGCTGCTCAACCAAACCAGCAGGTAATTAACAGTAAAATCTGATCCCACCTGGCTGCTCGCCCAGACAAAAAAAAATATATGTATTTTCTCAAAAACATAAAAAATACACAGATATAAAAAAATTTGATGAAAAGTTTCATTAAATGTAATAAACATTTCAAAAAAGTGAAAATTTGATGACAGTTGTCCTTTAATATTTTAATTAGGAAATGCATGGGATTTTAATTAATTACACTAACCGTGTATCCCTTAATTAGTTTTAAAATATTTTAACAAAGCTTGTGGGGCCTAAATGAAATGAGAAAGTGCAACTCCTCACCCACTAATGAACTAAAACTCCCCATGATGTTGAGGTTGGCCAGACAACATGGAAGCTGAAGTTTTAGAATTTTACAAGAAATTCCTCAAATGTAAATTGGACACCACTATTCATCTTAAATGTTATCCACTTTAATTTGGCCAGTGGGAGAGAATAACTGTTCATAACTACTAAACTATGTCTTATTTAAGAATGACCATAGTTATATAGAATATAATAATAATAATATTAAATACATACCCTGAAGTTTTCTGGATCCACATGCAGACGGTGGGCATGGCTGTCACTGAGGTCGTGGAGAGTGGCCTTAACGGTATCCAAGTGGTGGGCGGCGTTGTCCAGAGCTCCCAGGACCTTCTTGCCGTGGGCCTGTACCTTGGCATTTCCAGCAATTGCAGCTGCGTTGGACAGGCTTCCGAAAGAACTGAAATACCTCTGGGTCCAGGGGTAGACCAGGAGCAGCCTATTAAGTGAGAAACCCAATTTAAAAAATATGCTAAAAATATAAAATAAAATGAAATAATCTAGTTTGTGGAAGGGAAAGCCAAGGAAAACATTGCAAATGAAGTGGAAAAAACAGAAACATTGTTTCATTTTCTGTTTGCTTTTTCTATGCTCACTGCCAGGTGCCAAAGGCACAGATTATAGAAATGACTAACAAGGAGCTAAGATGGAGGCACCCAGTTGCAGTATAAAGAGGTGTAGATTTCTATATCTATTTTATATTTTTACACCTCACAAATACATAATTGTAAAATATAGGCATTAGTAGACATAATCAAGGTTATTTGATAACATGAGAAATAAAATTGAATTTCAATTATAAGGTCAAAATAACAAAACTAGAAGCACTGGTTGGAAAATATTTACAGTTTGTCTTTTCTCACCTTTAAATCCACTTTAAATTCCCTGAATAATTAAAATTGCTGGGAATTGAGGGTCCCTCTTTAAATCTTAAATTTTTTAAAAAGACAAATAGTAAAATGCTAACCTGGAGAATGAAATCATGTTAAAGGTACATTTTATAAATAAGTCCACAAGAATATCACGATTAAATGCTGAGATTAGTCAATTGTATTGTTTAATCAGCACATTATAGCATATTGACTAAACCGTGAACGAGACATTTTACGTTAAAATGTTCGAATTACCTTCCTAGGGCATCTCCACCATCATGCTCAAGATCAACTTTCTTCCATACGGCGTTGATAGCGGCCTTCTCTTCGGCTGTCCAGTGAACCATGGTGGCTGTTAGAGGGATGAGTAGCTGTGGCTTCAGCTAGGAGAAGTAAAAGGTACTGAGACACCACGATTTACCCCCAAGATTTTATAGAAAAATAAACAGAATGGAACGCCTATCGTAATTTGCTTTGTCACACATTTTTTTTCCTGCATTTGACACTTTGAGTCCTAACAGATAAGAGGAACAATATGACTGACATTGCTATTCAGAATTGTATCTTGCCCAATTTGAGTCTTCCATTGGATCTAATTATGCTGATCTCGTGAGTTTGTACAACAAGATTCACACAAGCAGAAAGCAGATAAGAAAATAGAACTCAGTTATAATAGGTAGTATAACATTTTCATTGGTGTGACCGAGTTCATTTTCTAGCTTTAGAGTATACATTTTTAAAAACAGAATGCTATTCAGTGGCTGTTAAGAAACAAATTGAGTAAGAAATATTGGGTGATGCATGTAGAAGCAAAACTGTATCGATTAACAAAAATATTAACAAATGTTAACAAAAATATATATATACACACTAATTCTCATTTGGCTTACTTTACAAGGAACCCAAGACAACATCTTCCATTTTTTATGAACTAATTTCAATCACATATGTGTTGGTTTACAGCATTGGCATTTAATTGATTTGTTAGACAGGAAGGAGGGCATAATTGTCAGTGCCAAAGCAGAAGCGGCATGCCAAGAACGATCAGCAGGACCGTAACCTTTCCAAACAACCAAGTACTGTAAAGTCCTCCGAGAAAACCTAGAATCCACGATAGAAGATACCTCATACTCTTCCTGACCACCCACCACCACCGGAGGGGGAGGAACACAAGGAACAGTATATCTATTGCAGACAAGAGGTTTGAGTAAGGACACATGAAAAGTGTTGGGAATCCCTAAAGATGCAGGAAGAGCCAGAGAGTAAGACACTGGATTGATCCTACGAAGCACTCTATAGGGACCAAGGAATCTGGGGGCAAACTTCATGCTAAGGACCTTAAGCTTGGTGTTGCGAGATGACAACCAAACCCGGTCCCCCACTTGGTACTGAGCAGGCTGAGAACTGGGCCTAAATACACCTCCTTTAGTTCTGATAGGCTGTAACCGGCCTTTGACCCCAAAGTCAGTTACCAGGTTTAATTTGCATAATTGCTGCTCAGCATTAACCCTTCTGTGGATTAGGTTGCTGCTCGGCACAACTTTTCCTGTGTGGACAGTAAATGTCATTAACCACTTTTCTATAAGCGGATGAATACATGACACCAGGTTTCATTTGCACAATTACTGCTCAGCATTAAACCTTCTGTGGATTAGGTTGCTGCTCGGCACAACTTTTCCTGTGTGGACAGTAAATGTCATTAACCACATTTCTATAAGCGGATGAATACGTGACACTTGGACCTTTTCGTGTCCTTCGTAGGATCAATCCTGTTGCATACTCTCTGGCCCTTCCGGCCTCCTTGAAAATTCCTAATACCTTTCATGTGTCCTTGCTCAAACCTCTTGTTTGAAATAAATATACTGTCTCAAGTGTCCCTCCTCCTTCCTTCCGGCCATTCTAAGGTCCGGTATACGTTCCCTATCAGTCCTCTGTGTTACTCAGTTCTACGTGCTGGATCATTCTGTAATCCTGACAAAAGACTGTTTAGGTGTACTAGCTGATAATATTTCATATCTGAGAAATTGTCTGATTTTGTGCCATATCAATATGGGAGTTGGGCATCCAGATTTTTTCCAGTGACATGCTGTCACATTCCTTGTGGCCAGGATTGTCATCACTAGTATGTGGTTGTCAGCATGGGGTAGAGTGCCCGGGAGTAATAGAAAAAGAGCAAATTTAGGGGTTTCCAGTTGTTCTCATATTTTTGAATGTGTCTCTTCCCACAATGGTTTTATATCTGGGCAGTCCCACCATATATGGGTCATTGTTCCTCTATCTCTGTCGCATCTCCAACAGGTAGGTGGGGTCTGGGGGTATATTTTGTGAATTTTGTCAGGTGTATAATACAATCTGTAGACAAGCTTTTATGGGCTTCAACATGGGAATGGCAAGTTGTGATGCCTTTTAGGGCATGGAGCGAGGTCAACCATTGTTTGTCTGTGGGATATTGAGTGCATTCTCCCTTCCATTGTGCTTGATACTTATATTCTGGGTGTGTTATTTGATTTTTTTTGTGTGGTATAACATACTGTGAGGGTTTTATTTTTGACCGGTGTATTATAACACCGATTGTATATGAGTATGTGGTGGTGGTCATATGCACCTGTTTCCGATTGAGTGTGTGCCACTTTGTTGGAAATTAAACTCTTCAGTTGGAATGATGAGGGTAGATGATATTTTGTTTGCAGTTCCAGGAACGGTAGCATAGTTCCCTGTCGGCATAAATCTGTAACACAGGTAACCCTCAGTTCCCTCCACTTTTGTAAGGACAACCATGGAGACACTGAATTTAGGGCTGTGATAGGTACCCAAGGAGAGAACTTAATGTTATCCATGCTTGAGCGGTGGAGATGGTCCCAGGCTTGTATGACGTATCTAGTAAGTGGAAGTAATGGTTTGTGCTTGTCTCTAAGATGTTTAGGTGTCCTCATTTTCATATCTACCCATTGTAGTGTGTGTTTTGGGGCATGACGCTTTATAGCATTTTCTAGTAGTGCTGCTCTTTGGTATGTTGCCCTCTTTACTGGGAGACTGTAAAAGAGCTAGAGGCAATCTGGGCTTCTTTTTTTCCCAGATGTAAGTTGTTAGTATAGTTTGGATTTATTTGTGAAGTGTAGGTGAGAGAGGTATTGGCAACATTCAGAATATATAGAGCAGTTTCGGCAATACCATCATTTTGACGGCATTAATCCGTCCCAGCCAGGATATCATAATGTCTTTCCATTTATGTAGGGTTTATATACACATTAGTGGTGAAGTGGAGAAATTACATGCGCTGATCCCTCTAAATATGCCTGTGATTTTAACCTCTAGATATGTGAGATACGTTTGCCTCCAGTCGAATGTGTACTTACGTTTTAGCGTTGTAACCTCCGTTGTGGGAAGACATATGGGTAGTGCTTGGGTTTTCGTTTGATTGAGCGTGTAATAGGAAATACTGCTGTAATCATCCAGGGCGTGTAGGAGATGTGTTAATGAGAGATCTGGTTGTGTCATGGAGATAAGAATGTCATCTGCAAACATCGACAATTTGTATTCTGTGTTATTGATGCTAATGCCTTTTATACCTGTGTGTGTTCGGATTTTATGCGCCAATGGTTCGATGAATAATACGAATTATAGGGGAGAGAGAGGGCATACCTGGCGCTTGCCATTAGTGATGGCGAAAGGGTTCGAAATTAAGCCTGTATTTGAGACTTTGGCGGTTGGTTTAGAGTATAGTGCTATTATGCCTTTTATATATTCCCTAGGAAATCCGAATTTGACCAGTACCTGGTCCATGTAATCCCAATTAAGTCTATCGAAGGCCTTCTCCGCGTCTAGCACTAGGAGAAGGCCTTTCATATTGTGTGTTGGAACCTCTCATACTTTTAAAGTGACTACCCAACTGACTACCCAACTGTCCAAAGGCGGCTGCTGCTGCCGCTGCTGCTGTTCTTCTGCCTTCATATTTTCCCCTTTGAATTTTTGAGAGTAGTGCTACAGTACAACTTTAGGGTTAAACAATTTGAGAACAGTTTAACTCCTTGAGGTAAGAGTACACCCGAGGGCCTCCTGCCACCATAGCAACTTAAATTATATGAAGTTGTTATGGTGTCTAAAAGGGCTCCCTTTGACAGACAGTAATACACAAACAGACAGACAAGCATATACAGATTCAGGCATAGGCTTACACAAAGTCACAGACATACAGAGACACATAGAGTTAGGTACACACAGCCAAACAGGCACACTATAAAAAAAAAAACATTCATTCTCCCAACCTGAAAGCAGGGCCAGCGGCTACTAGCCTCTCCTTCTATGTCACATACAGAGTGAGGGAAAGGAGACAGCAAGCCGCCGGGCCCAGTATTGCAGCACCCTTCTTTTGTGCTACTTCGACTTGCTCAGATACCTCGTTAACACTCGGCCGGCACACTGTGCGTTTCCATGTTTTAGTGCGTGGCTTCTGCTCCAAAGGACTGGGTGCAACCAGGACAGCATGCCAATGCTCCTGGTACCGACATCCTTCCCAACACACAACTGTCAGCAATATAATAACAGTAATGGGGCCCCCAGGCTGCCAAGGGCCACCATTAATAGGCGGGGGGCAGTGTATTGAATTAGGGGGAAGGCAGTGTATTAAATTGGAAGGAGGGGGGCAGTGTATTAAATTGTTGGGAGGGACGACAGTGTATTGAATAGGGAGGAGGGAGGGCAGAGTATTAAATTGTGGGAAGGGGGAAGTGCATTAAATTGGGAGGAGTGAGGCAGAGGGACACACACACTCTCACTAAAAAACACAAACACTAACACACAATGTAGTTGTATTATTTGCTTTTTTTGGTTGATTTCTTCCCTGGGGTCCAGTGGGGCTGGCAGGACAATGCAGGTGATCTGGCAGGTGCACAGTTCAGACGGGGAGCTAGGGAGCTCTGACCCTCCCGCTCAGCTCCCTCGCGTGCCTCTTAGTGATGCCCGGAGCCTGAGTGACTTCATATTCCAGCTCCGGCATCACTGCAGTGCAGTCGAGAGAGCTGAACACGGAAAATCTCAGGGGAGAGCTCTCCCTTGCGCCCACCTCCCAAATCAGGGGATGCCTGCATTATGAGGGGAAGGGGGCCTTAAGTTGGCCAGCTGGCCAGCTCCTGGGCCACCCAGGACAAGAGGCTCACAGGGGCATTTGATGGGGTGGCTTTTTTTGCCGCCCCCCCTGAAAGTGACACCCAAGGCAAATGCCTTGTCAGCCTCGCGGTAAATACACCACTGCCTGAGACTAATCACGAATGGGCTGTGCATATACGCTGTCTCCAGCATGTGTTTTATAAAGACAGAAATAAAGCTGATGCTGATTTAACACAGTTGA